TGGCCTGTGTGCGACTCGTACTCCAAGTCGTGTGTGAAGGCAACTGACGGCCTCCGAGACGTTTTCGGTGTAGGGAATCACTCGTGCAGACCAATGTGTTGTCTAACGCCAACGCCAGAGAGCCGATCACTTATCCCACCTAATTGCACCACGTTTGATTAAGTTTTTTCAGCACGCCGGTCATCGAGCAATTATCACCCAAGTGGACAAGAGGAGTCGTTAATTCTCATAATTGTGCAGTAGCATAGTGACTGTATCCTATTCATACTGTTACTATCTGTGTATTAATTAACCGTTTCTGCCATCATCTCTGATGTTGGATACACGACGGATCTCGAAACAGCAGGCGAATAAAGCTGTTGTCTCAGCGACCACGTCTACTTCATCTCAAGTTACCAATTGTTCGTTTAGAAATACTTATTTTTTCAAGCCTTTATTTACGACACATGAAGAGTGCCTATAAGTTTGACCAATAAACCGCAATACAGGCGAGATCCTAATCATACCATCTCCCCTTTATTAAAAGAAATTTTCTTTCGTCATATTTGTTTATGGATATTTCGGCTATTATGTTACAATATGTCGCAGATGTCGTCATTTAAATATCAGCGATTTGTTTTTAAGAATCTCATTGTTTTCATATCTTTTTCTATAAATGAAGCTTCCGTTTGAAATATTAATCAAAAACTTAAACATAAAATATTTCTTAAAAGCATTTACCGAACACGTGACTTTTCGCATATTAGGTACTACGAGCATACCATTTGGACAAATTTTGTAAACTACCTAAAACATCAGAATTCAATGCAGGCAAAAAACGTCCACCACGACAGGTCGATATTTTTATGCATAAGATCAATTACGAAAAATGTCCTACACTAAGTTAACTCGCCAACTAGCACATTTACTAGACATTCTGCTGGGCATGTTATCTTCTTCTAAAGTGACATCAAAGTTTAAATTGGGAACTTTGACTGCCTTTTTGACTCTCGTGAAAAAGAATGAACTCACTTTTCTTTTTCTACTGGAACGTTTTTCTCCATATTTGATTACCTGTAAGCCCAGTTCCAAGATTGGAACTGCATTAAAATTTAGCTTAATATATACTTAGATTTTGCGAAGACCATTAATCTGTCTGTTCCGTTTCTCGGTTACGCATTCACGGAAACTACATTGTGCAGAAACGTACCTTGTCACATGCTTTTAATTTAACAAGATTGTTTTCAGTGTCTACGTACACGGCCAAACACGCGATTTTTTGTTTACGGTCCCGCATCTTCGATGCGGTAAAACAAAATACAGGCATTAGCAAAATTTTTTAAAAGTGAATTTGTTCGTCCTGTCTGAAAAACAATGCGATTCCTTACATTTGATTTCACCTGATGTAAATCGACCTAAGGCCAGATTTTTGGGTAATGGGTGGGATATAGTTGAACTTTTCTTGCGTTATCTTTCAAGTCAACACCCACAAACAAACGAGTTTATTTGTACTTGATACGGCTGTGACCATGCCTGATCTAACCGGTGTCAGCGGTCTTACGGATGATGACAAGTAGGCACAGTGGACCTGAGAAGTTACACACATTCTCTTTTCCAGCGATGGAGACCGAAAACCGAAGGCCTCATACGCAGATGTTAACTAATTGGTTCTGTTATAGTAAATAGCGTGGGAAATTTCTTGTATATCCGATAATTTAAGATTCCTTCAAAATTATATCCATCTACTTTCAATAACTTGAAGTAAACATGCAAAGTTTTTTCTGAAAGGCTTTCTGAGGATCGGATCCAGTCACAAGACCAAAATAAAGATAATCAAATGTACAAGTAACTACCACTTTCAAATTCCTTCATGATCTTGCATAGTTAGGTCATCTACTGTATCCATAGGTAGAAGAAAACGTTTTTACACCCAGTATTCTGTATTGGCGGAGGAGCGCTTACCGGTTGGTTACGGAAATAGGTCGTCGCGTTCTCTCTTGAGGCTTATTCTCGAGCCCGAAATCAGCCGTGCATTGGCTAATATCATGGGCAGCTGAATATTGCCGACAAAGACAAGGGTGACCGGAATGAACATTTCTGTTTTAGCCATTATCAGCCAGCTATACCAAATCCCAGGTGGTGCATTATCCAAGTGTAATCAAAGCATTTTCTATCATAAAGTATTTTAACCCGCTAAAGGACAACGTAATTTACCCAATCCTGCAGATGCCCTATGGAATGACAGACTGCTTTGCCGGTTGAAGCAAATTGCGAGTTCCAGGCAGCAGTTTAGAAGGAGGTAATGTAATTGCTGAAACAATAAGGCCTAACGTTGCGGATTATCATTTCAATCGATCATCAGGACCTGTCTCTGTGGACGACACTGAAGTCGCCCAACGTCTCAGGTATCTGCCAATGTCAGTGCACTCCAACTTCCCTGGAAATTTAAATCACCGGATCTTACTGTGGATGCGCTGGACACTGAGTAAATTGGCTGATTGTACGTTTTATTCAGATCACGCTGAGTCCACACAAGATCGTGCCTACTGCCAGGCATTCATGTTCTGACGGGGGCAGCGTCAGTTACTGTGCACCCAATCGCCCCACCCATCGCTTGACGGACTCCGGCTGCCGACTGCAATCTGATAGCCACTCGGAACTAATGCAGTTGCCAATAGAATTGAATATGCGAGTTCCAGGAAGCAGTTCAGAAGGAGAAGAAACGATCAGTGGAACAAGAGATTTATTGTCCTGACGTTTCGGATTCCCTCGGGATACCTTAAACATAGGTTATAGTAGANNAGCTTGAGACGTTCGCAGATAAGGGTGATACCTGCACAGATTGCACGGTATTTATAGTTCATAGCGGTCACCCGCATGCGTACTATAATTGTCGGTACCT